ATATATAAGACAGAGTATATGAGATGCTGCAAGAGAGAAACAGCGAGTCATGTATAAAGATAGGCCCATCAGACTGGCAATGATTTCTTAACAGAAAAACTTGAAAAACCAGAAGGACTTGGAACAATGGATTTCAAGCGCTGAGAGACCATTGCTGTTCACCCACTCCACTATACCCAGACAAATTACTGCCGCCATGCAAAGAAAAAGGGAAACATATGATGATCAAGACAGGCTAAGAGAATTCATGATTACAGCCAGGTTTGTAGTGGATCTTGGAAGGACTCTTTCAGAGTGAGGAGGAAGGTCAATATCTTCAAGAGTCTGCAGGAGAGAATAAATCACACTAGAACCCTGGTTACGTAGATGAGGACTAGGAAAATATCAAACATTCCTAACTCAGCAAAATGATAGGAATTCATACTTTCAGTAATTGCTATCCCTGAATATAAAGTTTCAATTTCCCAATCAAAAGACAGACAAGCAGGTTGGATTGAAAACAGAGCTACACAGAACTCTGCTTGTTGCCTTGGAGAACACACGGGTGATGGTGATCAAAGCCAAAAGCCCCGTGAGAGTCAAAAGAGGGAAGACAGCCATCCAGGCAAATGGAACTAGCTAGCACCTGTTCTAGTGTCTCTCCGAATAAACTTCAAACAGAAACAACTGTGAAAGGAGAGAGATGGCCTCTGATTATCGGAGAAATCGGTCAAGAAGGGATCACAATTCTAGATGTGTGAACACCAAAGCAGGCGGAACAAGTCCCGAAAACAGAGCTGCTAGGAATAAAGTCACAGGTGAACCCTAGTGATATAATAGTACCACACTCACAAACTAATCAGGGGCTGGGTGGTGGTGAGACATCCTTTTTAATCCCAGCATTTGAGAGGCAGAGGCAGGTGGATCTTCTTGAGTTCAAGGCCAGCCTGGTCTGCAATGTCAGTTCTAGGGCAGCCAGGGCTGTTACACAGAGAAGCCCTGTCTCAAAACCAACACAGGAAAGTTGAAGTGTGGCTAGTTGGTAAGACGGAGGGGTCAGTGGGTGTAAGAAGGGCCTAAGTGGGTAATTGTGTTCAATTTGATAAAATGTATAAATACATGGATAAAAATGTAATAATAAAATCCACTATTATATGTAATTTATATATGTTAATAAAATGCTTAAAGAATAAAATAAAGAATGAAGAAAAGGACAAAAGCCCTGAGCCTTCATGCTTGCTCTATCCTGTGTGTGATGCAGAATCCCAGGCGGAGCTGGTCCATATTCCTGAACTTCAGTCTCTGGTCCATGAGCTACACAGAACTTTATTCTTCCTATTTACCTAGAAACAGGTTTCATCCTGTCGATGTCTCAGAACAGATGAAGAGATTTGTTTTGACCTTCAAGACAGAGTGACGTTTTGAAGATGTCCCCTCTCCGCTGCCTCTCTGTAGAGATAGGATTTATGGAGACACGTGTATGTGGATCCATCTCTCACTTTCTGAAGCAGACATTGTAGATAGATTTTTGGCAGTTAAGCAACCCTTTCATAGGGGTCTCCTAAGAACACTTGGATGTATCAGATATTTACAGTAAACTTCATAACTGCCTGGGCGGTGCTTTAATCCTAGCACTCGGGAGGCAGAGGCAGAAAGATCTTGAAAAAAAATCCTCTCTGAAAATCTCTCTTGCTCTTCTACATAGTTTTCCACAGCTCTCTATGGAGCTCTACACAGCCTCTCCTCAATCCAAACTCTGGAAAATTATATGTTACCTTTCAGGACCGGACTCATTCTCAGAACACAAGATAAGTCAGAGTTTCTCTTAGGCTAGGGAGGTCACATTAACTGTCCAGTGTGGAACACATGGCTATGCACATGGCTCTACGTTGGTGAGGGTTCCAGACAGAAAGTGTCATTGAAATTCAGGACTTAAACTATAAAAAGCTGAACCTTGAGTGGTAGGGAGTATGTCCTGAGGTCCATTACTATTGGCTACCAAAGTTGCTTCAAGTCTGACCTTGAATCAGTAATAAACACCAGGGAATTCCTCCTTGTGTATTCATCTCCAGGGGCAACCAGTTGCTTTGAATTTGTTCTGAAGTCTAAAATTAGCTGTTCTTGTGATTGAAAATACAGTTACTTTCCTATGTCAGTCTGAACGATCTAAAATATCTTAGCATTATTATTATTATTTTGTTTTTTCGAGAAAGGGTTTCTCTGTAGCTTTGGTGCCTGTCCTGGAACTAGCTCTTGTAGACCAGGCTGGCCTCGAACTCCCAGAGATCCGCCTGCCTCTGCCTCCCAAGTGCTGGGATTAAAGGCGTGTGCCACCACCGCCCGGCTTAAGTTCAATTCTTAAAGAAAAAGAGTAACAGGTAATTAATTTTCCCTTTCTTATTTGCAATGATGCATGTATGAAAACAAAATGTTATGCTGAGTGCATCTCCTATAAATCTGTCACTTTAAATATCATATTAAAATATTTAAAATTTTATGGAATACCTTGCCACAGCATCATTTCCTGGTTCTATTTGCTTGGCTTTATGATAACTACATGGTTGAAACAATCTGCCAATGCCTAACAGATGCCAAATAGATTATCTATACAGTTTTTGCATCATCAGGACTTCTACTCATGAACATTCCTAGTGATATAATTTTCTTCTACTCATGGCTATCTTTAGAAAAATGNGTCCTGGAACTAGCTCTTGTAGACCAGGCTGGCCTCGAACTCCCAGAGATCCGCCTGCCTCTGCCTCCCGAGTGCTGGGATTAAAGGCGTGCGCCCACCACCGCCCAGCTCGTAGCATTATTTCTATTTATCAAAATCATCTCAGGTTAAGCAGAAAGCATCATCCTGACTATCCACAGCCGTACATGTGCTCAGTATATGGAATATACACGTGAGAGAAACACACAAGCAGTGGGAAAACACCCATCCAGCTCTCAGGGAAGGAATGCAGTTCTTAGGGAAGAAACAAAGTGGTACAAGAGAGAAATCACAGACAGAAGCAACCGGCCACTTACATTCAGTGACTCTGTGGCCTTCCCAGGTGGGACAGCCCATCAGAGTCATTCATCTGGTGAGTTGACCTACTGAACACTAATTGTCACCTGCTGTATGCTCCCATTGCCCCCTTCAGACCTTAAACATGAGGACCATGTGCCAAACAGAGCTGGGTGAACGGGCAGATGGGATAATGAAATGGAGTCTTGGGTGACTCCACACTTGCCTAACAGCATCTGCACTGTGGATCTCGGTCTTCCCGGATCCTATAGGGCTGTGGACATGCCCCAGTGCTGCAATACTTCCCAAGCATGCAACACCCTATATCCTCAGCGCTGAGATGGAGGAAGGCTCTCTTGGTCAGCTCTGAACCTGCCTTGGACCTAGTCCTTTTGCCTTCTTGGATGACTGTGCCCTGGATAGATGCTTTCAGGGATCTCTGATGATGTCTGCCCTGTCCTGCTCCTGGAAGTTGAGGCCGGGAACCTCTTTCCTCATCTGTGCTGAGTTCTCCAGATAAGGTTCTTCTTACTCTTGATTCTGCCTTTTTCATCAGCATGACTTTAACTTAGTAGAGGAAACCACAGTGAGAGTAGGACCATGTAAATGTCCCCTGAGCTACAGGCCAAACGTGGTGGGGAATGGGTTGGAACATTCATAGACTTTTAACAGGCAGGATGGGGCTACTGACAAGACAACTGTCAAGACAACCCCATCCTGCCATCTCTAACTCCAACAACACGAGCAGATCTCATCCCACCTGGAGATCCTGAAGATCTTCCAGGGTACTTTTCACCATGAACAGTGACAGCACAAGACAGTCTTGCAAATATTTGCCAGCTCAGAATTGTCTAAAGGAAACTTTAGACAATGGAAATGTGACCTCAATCCAATTGTAGGTAACCTAAATCTACACTGTGTAAATATTAGCCTTACCTTGTGGAGAGGGGTGGGGCCAGCACAAAGGAGCCAGGTCACCAAGGTAACCCTATCCTAACCAGCACCCTACAGAAGGGGGTTGGCTCTGACCAACTGGACCAGGCATGTGGTTACCTGTATCAGAGATCATCTACCTTTCTGGTTTTTTTTTAATATTTATTTATTATGCCTGCAGGCCAGAAGAGGGCGCCAGACCTCATTACAGATGGCTGTGAGCCACCATGTGGTTGCTGGGAATTGAACTCAGGACCTTTGGAAGAGTAGGCAATGCTCTTAACCACTGAGCCATCTCTCCAGCCCGATCATCTACCTTTCAAGTGGCCTCCCTTTGTGTAGAGACCTCCAAGGAGACTGGAATCTTCCATTTGAACAGTGACATCATGACTGGTGTGACCATCTGAGGAACTAAAACGCACAAACTTCCCGGGACCACAAACACAGAGAAGGCAGCTTCATGCCATACCGACAGCCCATTCTGAACCAGTCTGTTTCCCAGAAGAAGTGAGGTCCTTGAGCTCTCAAGTGGTTTGGAAATGTGATTCTCATCCTTGAGACCCTGAAATGAGTCAAGACACTTCAAACACCACGACATTGTTGTCCTGTGGTGAAGGGAAGTGAGGAGACCCGTGTCTAGAGAGGCCAGTGAGCCAACATTACACAGGCTCAATGTGTCAGAGCAGGGGTCCAGCTTGGCCTGACTTCAGCTGTTTTGAGTCCTGTCATCAAGAGCAGCCATGAGAAATCTCAACCTGCTCTCCCTGCATTGGCCCCTGCCATTGCAGTGGACTGTGGGTGTTTGTGAGGGGTCCCAAGTGCTGCCAGTGCAGGAACCAAGCCTGACATTGGTGGCATTAGCTGAGACTAGAGCAGACACTTTTTGACTCTGATTAATGCCAGGATTATCCTGCTCACCACTCCTCCCCCTGAGAGCTGTGGCAGCCCACCAGCCTTCCTACCTTCCTCAGCCTGGTGTCTGCCCATATCTTCCTACCTCAGATCAGTCCGATTTATCCTGACCGCAATGTTTTTGGTCCCATGCCACCTTCTTCTGCTGTCATTGACTGCCATATACTCCATTTTCTAGACCACAGTTAATATTTATTGAACACAAATTATAGAAGACAAGAGGACAAAATCCAGGTTATCTAGACACTATCTTGGTCATCACCCTCCCCACAGTATCAGAGAGAGCTGAGGGTCACAGACTGAGTCTCTTGTCACAAACATGTTGACCCCAAACAATACTTTGACATCTGATGTACATCTGCCTTGACTCTCTATCTCCAAAGACCCAATAATGACACATCACAGCATAGACATTCACTTTGATGTCATTGGTCTCTCTGGTGACCCTGTCCCCCTTGGAGGGTTGACTACTTCTCAAGAACCCCATCTTTTCTGTTGTCACCGCCACCATCCTCAACATCATCTTCATCCCCATCATCATCACCATAACTATCACTATCCAGACATTACTTCCTAGAAGACACAAGGGTGAGTTGATCCTGCTGATGCTGGGAAGAATCACCTAGCGGTCATAGGGACCTTGCCCTCAGGGAACGGGATGTGGTCCCCTGCTCTGGCTTCAGCGCCCACTCTGGCTTTCTCCCATCTTCAGCCATCCAGGTTTCCTAGGTTCTCATGGCTTGTTCCTGTTCTGCTCTCCATATCAGACCCTCCGTATTGCAGTCCTAGTCCCATTCTCTAGGCATCCTGGCCCCTTATTTTAGTCTCCAGTTCCCGCCTTCTTAAAGCACTGGCTATCTATGTTGACTTTGCTCTGCTCAGCAAGAAATAGAAACCACTCAACCCTCAGTTCCATAGACTTGATCATGTGTTATTTCCCTTGTAACGATATGTTCCCCCCCCCCTTGTCCCCACCCCTGTACATGTCATTTCCCCTGAACTCTTAACTGCTTGGTGGAGGGGTCACTGAGGCTGGACTGACTGTAGATCCTTGTGGTGCTGCTCAAATTCACACAACTTCTCTTCTAGATTGTTAGCCAGCTCCCGTAGCGCTCCTGCCGACTCTGTCTTTGCCCCATTGTGTAAATCTATGGAGTCAGTCACAAGGTTATACACATCAAATCCAAACAGCGAAACATTACCGACTCCTTTTCCAATCCTGGCTAGTCTGGTTCCTAGGGGAATATCGTGTGAGATGAGATTCCTCAACTGCCTAATACCTTCTCTAAACGTTGTGACGTTCCTGATTCTGCCTGTCCTGATGGCTTGAATATGATCCCTGAGGGTTTTCCAGGCACCGAATAACTCCACACCTGAACTACTAACATTGAATATGATCAAAGGCGTGATCTTCCCAATTCTTTCCATTATGTCCATGCTGGCTCCAATCAGGCGCCTGGCTTCACTTTCATCTGCCCCTCTGATGGATTCTTCCACAATGGTAGTGGTGACACCAGTTGCCGCTGATGCTGCTCCTAGACCTGCTGCTGCAATAATCAGAGAGGCCCCTCCTGTGAACGGTGCCAGAAGTAATCCAGTGATTGTGGCGGCGATCCCGGTGGACCCAGACACCACATTGGAGATGGTGCAGCCCTTGTGCACCTGGTCAAGATGGTCAGCCAGAGCTCGGAGCTTCCTGATGTGTTCTTCGAGTTTCCTTTTCAACTCAGGAAATTCTTTCAGAAAAATTTTTTTCCGCTGCCTCTTTTCTGTTTCATCATTTTTATCTGCGGGCTCCTGGGCTAAATGCTTCTTCAGTGCATCACGCAGGGCAGCTTCCTCTGTGCTGTGACAGAAGAGATCAAGTTCATGAATAAAACAGTTACTTTTTGAATGTTAAAGTCTTGTTCAAACCTCACTTTCATACCACAGACCCAGCAGGAGTAACGCAGCAGAGATCTGTAATCTGCCTTCTTCTACCCGGATCATCTGGTACAGCATAGATGTCCAGGGCCTTAGTCCATAGGGGTTAGTGTGTGAAGTCCAGGACACTTTACAAAATTAGAGGCACTGATAAAATTATTTCTCTCAAGGTCAAGTCAATGCCATCACTATCTGTGGTAGCCATGTTGATGAGCGCGGCACATGGGCTTAGAGCAATTACTCTTTTAGTCAGAGAACTGTGCATGTTGTATGGAATTCCCCTTTCCCAAGAGTCTCCTCTCTGTCCCTGGTTGCCCTGAAGTCATCTGTACCCTATGCAGTATTGAGCTTGCAGGAATGCCTGTGCTTGCCTGGGAGGTCTGCAATGGACCATTCACAGGTCAAGCCAAGTGTGGATTCCTCAATCTGAATGAATTCCAAACCTAGCATTACAAAATTTCACATTTGTCCTCATGGGACAATACACAGCGACAGAACAACTGATTTATAAGAATTACACAAAAACTCCTCCATTTCCTGTACACTGTCACCATTCAGGCAGATTCGGGTTCCATCTGCAATATACTTCACTAATATCTGCAGGTGTTTCAAAGTTTGGAAAATGCAGGATCGGAGATGCATCTGTTCCCAAGAATTTCCTATGAACATGCTCAACCTGAAAGATATGGGAACTTTAGTGCCATTTCTGACCTGCAAAGGAACTGGAAGCCAAAACACTGACCTTAGGAAGATCCCCCTGAGGCCTGTGTCACCGGAATTGATTTCTTATTGATGTCCATGGAAAGGATCTGTGGTCCTGCCCTCCTGACAGGTGTCTCTAAGTCCCCAACTCTCTGTGTGTACAGTATGGCTCCATGTTTGTCCCTGAGGGCAACAGTCCTGAGCAGTGTTCTCCTGACTTCTTGGACCTGCTTCAGGATGAAGGTTCTTTCCTAGGGTGGGCTTCCTGGTGTGTAGTAGTCATGTGATTTCCTGGTATGCAGTGGTCATGTGATTTCCTGGTGTGCAGTGGTCATGTGATTTCCTGGTGTACAGTGGTCATGTGATTTCCTGGTGTACAGTAGTCATGTGACTTCCTGGAGTGCAGTGGTCATGTGATTTCCTGGTGTGCAGGGGTCATGTGATTTTCTTGTGTGCAGTAGTTGTGTGATCTGTCACACACTCAATGCAGGACAACAATATGTCCTAAGGAGAAGAAACTTGAAGCTTGAAGCTCTCTCATTTCCATCTGGTGGATGTTTCCATTAGCTCATTTTAACCCTCTGTGCTCCGTGGTCAACTGTTACTATGTGGCAACTGTCTTATATGTGCGTTCTTTGTGTGGTTTTTGCAAATTCTCAGTCCTGTTTGGATTAGAGTTGTCCTTCATTAAAGGCTAGTGTCAAATATAAAAAGAAGGCTCACTGGGACTCTTTCCTCAGACTTTGTCATTTAGCTATTTCTGAGAATTTAAAATTAAACCCAAAACAAATGTTCAGAGCCACAAGAGACCTTCCCGATCCTTTTGTCTGCTGTCTGCTCTCTGCAGATTGCCAAATTCCTTTCCCTCCCTGACTGGATCTCACAAGGTGAGTGGCTGCCTGAGGTGACTGAGACAGCAACATCTTCAGTCAACCTGAGGAGATGTCCACCAGGAATGAAATAGTGGAAACACCCCTCCTGGATTGTTGAGAAGGGATGTCCACAACCCTGCCCCCGGGACTGTCTAGGGTGTGTGTGCCTGCCCAGGAAAACCCTCATCCTCATGGTCTGGTGGGCAGTGCTGGGTGCACCATGCAGGTAACCTTGACAACGCTGCTTTTGCCACAAACGCCTTCCAGACTCCATCATCAGTTATCAAGAGCTTCAGATCATCTCTGCCCACTTCGTCAGTGATGATGGTAGTTATGTTGTCCGCGATGCTTAACAACACTATATACAAAAAAAGAGAGAGTTTAGAGGACAATATGGAAGAGGTTAAAGGGCAAGTGCCAGGAAGGGTGAGATGTCATGTTCCTGAGCATTTGTCTTTGGGTCCTAATGGGGTCTCCAGGGTTGTAGGTTCAATTACATCGCCTAAATTCATATGTAAAAGCTGTTAGGCTCAGCAACTGTGCTTGGGTACAGAACCTCAGTGCCCTTATATCCTTGAGAGTCACAGTCATCCTGTGACATTGAGCTTTCTAGTGCTTTTTTCTCTGCAAATGAAAAACGCCGAATGCTTGTCATTTCTTATTGTCCCAATTGCTCTTTTCATTGTAGACCTACATAAAGAGTCACCATTAACAACCATCCACAGACTCAAAATTATGCTCTATTGACCTTTTCCCCACCAAAAAAAATCCTGGCTGACCTAGAATTCACTGTGTGGACCAGTCTGACCCCAAATTCACAGAGGTCCACCTACTTCATCCTGTCAAGTTCTAGGAGTAAGGCAGGGCAATAATCTCTAAAAGCCTACACACAGGGATCGACTTCCTCCAGTACGCCTCTATATCCTAAGACTTCCATAACCTCCCAAAATCACAACACCAACTGGGGACCAAGTGTTAAATGCATGAGCCTCTGAGATATTATAGAATCAAGACAGCACACTTATGCACACACTTATATGCTTCAATTCCTTTTCCATTGGAACACTTGCGATCTGGATGCAGCCGGAAAGGAAGGAACAGACTACCTGGTAACGCCATGAGGATGTTCTGGGTCTGTGCACAAGGCTTTCTGACAGGTTTTCCTTAAGGCTCTTCAGGTGGCTAGGCTGGAAGGAGAGGAAAGAAGGAACTGTAAGATGTAATGGGGACAGCTGCAGGGAAGGGAAGGTTGGAGGGGCCAGAGACCCAATGGTTCCACTGGAGTGGCAGTAAAGGACCAAAGGACTGACGGCTATAATGCTTCTCCTCTAGTGCGTCCTGCACTGCTACTTACAGATGCCAGTCATCTGGTCTACCTTCTCCCCTCAACCTGGCCAAGACAGCCTTCTGGCCCTGGCAGAGTCCAAGGAGAAGACACCAGCTAGAGATATAGCTATGAAGAGAAGCAATATACAGTCTATACATGGGAAGGGATGGTCTGCCAACTATTTGGTGTGAACTCATGTGAATTAATGTTAATAGAAAAAATTTACTGTATGTTTGTGATACACAAGGCTCCTCATACACACCTCATTAGAGGACCACCATCTTCCGTGAGATGGGGACTCCTGTGAGCCCCATTTTAAAGTGGAGGGAAAAACAAAAGGATTTGCTGACACCCACAAGATTTCATAGTAATGCCGGAACAGGGTTTGACCCCAGGTTGTTCTTATTGGTACCCCATCTTTTAGGTATGACTCTCCACTCTCTAAGGCACCCATCAGCATTTCATCCCCTCCCCATGTGACTATGAATGGCTTCTCACCTACATCAGGGCCTGTGCCCTTGAATGGTTAAATTCACAGATGCTGCCCTGTTCTGCCAAAGTTCACATCCTCTTTGTTCTGCAGGATCCTGCATCCCACCAGGGCTGGAGTTCCTGTTAGTCCCCGTCCCTGTCCCTGCTCCAGCCCATCCAGTGCTTTGCCCCCTCCCCCCAAATGTTCAGCCTTAGGTAACTTCTAATCACCAAGTGAAATGAACACCCTCTTGAATACAATGTGGATTACATTCTTTAAGATATTTCTAGAAGAAACATGAGTAGATCACAGAGCTTCAAAATTTAACTTTTTCATAGCCTGGGGCTCAATGTTGCCTCAGTAATGTGTGAGAAGCGGCATCCCCATGGGCAATGCACAAGGGTGGGCCTTCGCCCTAGGCTACTAGGGTACAGTAGCCTTAAGTAAACAGGAGATCTGATTGCACGTGGGGTAACCTCAGCACTGGAGAGGCTGAGGCAGGGTGGCTGCTGGCAGTTCGAGTACAGCTGAGGCATCACACCGAGATCCTACTTTTAACCCAGTACAGACACCACTGGTGTCTGTGTCTAAGGCTACATTTTGTTGGTGAAAAGCCCCTCAGTGTGTATGAGGCCCCGGGAACAATCCCCAGTGCCACAAGGGGCAGGATAATCAAATCCTCCCTGTAGGCTTTCCCAGTCACTCCAAGCCCTGGATGGACTATGACTTAGGGCACTTCTCAGCATTACACTTGCCACCTACCCTGACCCCATTCCACCTCCAGGACCAGTGGGTTTGGCATGATGCTGGCAGCAGCCCCGTGCTGGTAACCAGGACCAACTAACTGTCCAGAGGAACCTTCAGCCAGTGGGAATGTGATTGTTGTAATTTAGAAAAAAAGCAGTGTGCAAGAGAAAGATGCCATGCAACAGAGTTCATGGGGAGGGTAATTTATTAGGGGAAAGGGGACTTAAAAGGAGGGAAGGGGATGGGGAGACTGGTCTCAGGGGACAGGAGGAGCAGAAGAAAAGAGAAGAGAGAAAGAAAGAGATGGAAATGAAGACAGAAGGAGAGAGAGAGAGAGAGAGAGAGAGAGAGAGAGAGAGAGAGATGGGAGTTGGGCAGGACCCTTTTATTTTTTATTTAATTAATTTATTAAAGATTTCTGTCTCTT